CGCACACTCTGGGACTAGGTCTGCGCCCGGGTGTGCCCACCCCCTTCTGGCTGCTGTGGCCCTTAGGCGACCCCTGGAAGGCAGGGCACTGAGGGGGCGGGGGTGGACTGTCTTTTAGCTTGTTGGGCTCAGCTTGACTGTCCTCTGCTTCAAGATGACCACCCTGAGCTGGGCTTGGTGGCACGTGCCTGTCCTCCCAGCGCTCAGGGAGACTGAAGCAGGACAATCGAAAGTTAAAGCCAGCCTTGGGCAGTTCAGCGATTTGCTAGCACCCTGTCTCAAAAAAAATAAAAAGGCTGGGGATGGAGCTCAGTGTGAAGGCGTTCAGCTGTCTGCAGTGGCCGGGGAAAAGGAAGGAAGGACCTATCCAGCTTTGATTCAGGAAAAAGGGGTCGCTGAGGTGGCTGGCCCTGCTCTGTCCACGTACAAGATGCAAGCCTCTCAGAGCAGGGTGACTAGTGCATTAAGTGAGCACCACTGTATGCCCACGCAGCTGTTTAAGGCCAGGGGAAGTGGCAGCCTCTGGACTGTATCACCCCACTCCCTGTTCAGGGAGGGCTCTCACTGTGGAGAGGTCAGAGGGCAGGGCCGCCTAGCTCAGAATCTGCGTGAGCAGAGCCCGGGAGGCTGGAGTCAGGCCCAATGGGGAAAGCGTAGGACTGGAGCAGACCACCAAGCAGGTAGGAGGTGAGGTGGGGGTGGGAAAGGGTTTAAACCAGCAGGGGTGTCTTCTGGGGGCTGTAGTGAATGCAGGGGGTGTGTGGCAGATGCAGGGGGTTAGGGATGAGGAGAGGAATTGAGGACAGAAAGGGCGGAAACCTACTGAGCACCAACTGTGTACAGGCCAATGGACTGGGGCCTGGGGGCAGTAGGAATAATTTAGGCTTGGGCTCTATCAAGTGGGCAGTCCTATCTCCCCAGGTGCAGCCCTTTTCTGCAGGTCTTAGGCCACTGTGCCCTCCAGGGAAGGCATACAGCAGGCAATTACACTGCAGGTGGGCATACAGCAGGCACTGTGCATTGTACGTGCAGCATATGCAGCCAGCCTTATGCCTGTGGGAATATACACACAGTCATACCTTGATACCTTAAACCTTCGAAGCTCAGTTGAATTTGGTTCTGAATGCATTTTGATGGGAAAATTTTGTCCAGTGCCCATCCTGTGTTTGGTATTTATTGTGCAAGCTCAAACTTGTTGGTGTCCGTTGCCTCGTGACTCACTGCCTGCTCCAGCCAGAACAACTAAGGACAAGTACCAAAGTGACGCCGAATATAGCAGGCACTGCACCCTGAATGCAGCAGGCCCCGGGGCCAGCAGGAAGTGCATATAGTGGTGACTGGCCCCACAGGGAGCACAGACAGCAGGCACAGCGCCTTGCGTGGGGGACCTAGCACTGGTGGGGTCACACGTAGAGTGAGCTGTGGAGTCTGTGACCTCCTGCCACAGGCTCCCCGCCTCTCAGGCCAGGTCTTCCTGGTTGGACAGATCAGATTCTCTAGAAGAGAGGAATCTGAAGCTCAGCCTAGCACACCTGGTGTGCGTGGAGAGCGAGGGGCAGCTGCTGGGGCTCCACCCTGCCCTGGCCGGCACCCCACCCCAAGGCTCATCCAGGGCCCCTCACTCTGAGCTCCCTCACCCCCCACCATCCAAGAGGGAGGGTCAGGATGGGGCAGAGGAAGGATGGCCCGGCTCAGGCCCAGCCACGTGACTCTCTGCATCTCAAGGCCTTGGGCTTAAGAACATCTTGCCTAGCCAGGTGTGGTGGCCAAGGCCCGCAATCCAAGCATTAGGGAACCTGAGGCAGGAGGATTGGTGGTGAGTTCAAGGCCAGCCTGAACTGCAGCGCAAGACCCTGTCTCAAAAAACCAACTAACCAAAAAAAACAAAACAAAACAAACAAAAACAAAAGGCCATCATGCCTAACCACCTAGCCTGGTGTAGGGGTGTATATCTGTCATCCCAGCTACTCTGGACAGTGAGGTCGGAGGATTGCCAAGTTGAAGTCCAACCTGAGCAGCTTAGCGGGGCCCTGTCCCAAATATAGATAAAAAGATTTGGAGGTGGGGCTGAGAAGTGAGCAGTGCCTAGTCTGTGCAAGGCCCTGGGTTCCAGCCCCAGTACAGCAAACAAAACAAATATTGTATCTTAGTTGGCAGCGCAGTGCTTTGCCCTTCAGAATTGGTCCAGAGGGTATAGTCTGGGAAGACCTCATTTCAAAAATAAACAAACAAATAAATATCCAAGGGTGGGCCGGGTGTGATGGTGCATGCCTGTAATCCCAGCACTCGAGAGGCTGAGGCAGGAGGATCTCTGTGAGTTCGAAACCAGTCTGAGCTACATAGTGAGTTCCAGGTCAGTCTCAACTACATAGTGAGACCCTGTCTCAAAAACCAAATATCTGAGGGTGGTGGTGCACATCTACAATCCCCAACACCTCAGGAGGCTGAGACAGGAGGGTTGCAGATTGGAGCCCAGTTGGGGCAATTTACTAAGAACCTGTCTCCAAAAACAAAAAAAAAGGGCTGGGGGGTAGGGCTCAGTGACAGAGCACCTAGGTGCAATCTCCAGGGAAAGAAACATATATATGTATATCGTGTGTTACGAGGTAGGTTTCGTGGTAAAAATTCTCTTACCACAAGCAAAACCAAAGGGACACAGGTTTGGGAGGTGACGAACACGCTGATGACCCTGATTGGTGATCAGGTCACTTGGACTTTGTGTGCATCCACACTCATCAAACAGTACACATCGTGGGTGTGCAATTCTTCAATTGCATCTCAATAACACTTTAAAAATATTTTTTCTTTTCTTTTCTTTTCTTTTTTTTTTTTGCAGCTCTGGTAATGAACCTAGGGTCTCCTGTTTTCGAGGCAAGTGCTCCCCACTGAGCCACACCCTGGCCCCGACCTGGTCTCAAAATATAAATAAATAAATAAATAAGTAAAAATGGCTGGGGGTGTGGCTCAATGCGAAGGCCCTGGGTTCCATGCTCAATACCACAGAAAATTAATTTAAAATTTTAAAAATGCCCTCCAGATCTGGGGCCTCTCTGTGGCCCACAACTCTCAGCCCCCATCTTACGTGGGCAGCCCAGGAAGAGGAACCTACCACAGCCAGGGGTACCCCATGGAAACGGAGGCTCTAGATCCTCTGTCCTACCACACTGACTGTCCAGAATTCCTTGAGGAGATGGCTCCTCCCGCTCTGCCCATCTCAGGTCTCAGATACTGCCCTGTCCCCTTGCCAGGCTGAACCCTACCAGTCAGCTGTCAGGCCTGGGGCGTCCAGTGGGTGTGGCCTGCCCCTCTCAGTAAGTAGCAAAGGATCCCTGGGCAGCCATTCAGAAAGCTCTCTCTCAGCCATGGTGATTGGCAGGAAGATAAGCACGTGACTCGGGTGGACCAATGAAAGCCTGCCCTGCAATTTCCACTGGCCCACTCGGGGGCGAGTATCTTTTTCTGTGGCTGGGTTTGTCTAGTAGGAAGAGTGTGAGCTGGGATCGCTGGAACCTTCTTTGTCACCTCGAGCAGCATTGTCCTGGAGAGAGATCAACAGAAAAGGCAGAAAGTGAAATTTCTGAGATGCTCGAGTTTTTAGATTGAGCCTCACCTGAATTCATCTCCGATTTTTTTTTTTTTTTAGTTTATCAACTTTGAGCTCGTTACTTCTTTTTTTCTCTCTCATTGAGTTTATTGGTACATTTTAGGGATACAGTACAGTTACATTCATCGTTAGGATCTTGTACCTCTACATGACAGGTTTTGGTTCTCATTTTTTCCCCTTATAGAGCTCTTGTTACTTCTAAGCTAAAGGTCCCTTTCTAATAGAAACTATGTCTCTTTCATCAGCTCCCATCCAGGACAGTTTCTACCTTTCACGTCTCAATTGAGCCACAGACACAAACAGCAAGACTTGATCATCAAATTGGGTTGATTATGAAGCGAGTTCTTAGGAGTGAAGGGTGACTTCGTAGGATTTGTTGTTGCTTATAGTATGCACGAGATAAGAGGGACTAGGCACTGTGGAGAACAATTTGGTGACTCCTCAAAAATTTAAACAGAGCCAGAATTTAGCTCAGCGGCATCGTGCCTCCCTTGCAAGTACAAGGTCCTGAGTTTGATCCCCAGTACAAAAAAAAAAAAAAAAAAAAAAAACCCCAGCATAGGTTTGCAGCCTGTACTCCAAGCTATTTGGGAGGCTGAGGCAAGGGGACCACAAATCTGAAGTCAGCCTGGGCACTTAGCAAGACCCTGTCACAAAAAAAAACAATTTTTTTTTTTTTGGTTTTTTGAGACAGGGTCTCACTATGTAGTTGAGACTGACCTGGAACTCACTACGTAGTCCAGACTGGTCTCGAACTCATAACGATCCTCCTGCCTCAGTCTCCCGAGTGCTGGGATTACAGGCGTGAGCCACCACACCCTGCTCTGTCACAAAATAAAAAAAAAATTTTTTTTGAAAAGGGCTGGGGGTGTAGGTCAGTGCAAAGGTCCTGGGTTCCATCTGCAGTACTGAAATAATAACGATAGTAGTAATTACTGTTACCATTTATTACTATTCTGTCAACACTTTGTTTGGATTTCGCCAGCCTTTTTTTTTTTTTAGGCCTAATGTCCTTTCTTGGCCAGGAGCCATATGACACTGAGTCCCTTCTGCTGTGATTAGTAAAAAGTCCCATGCGGATGAAGGGCACTGC